ATTCTTTTTAAATCATAATGACAACAGAAACTACCCAAATGACCCCCCCCCCATTTAAATCATGAGTCTCTAGCCGAATTTTCAAAACTTAAAAGAAGGTTTATTGGGAGTTAACATGTCTGGTGCTACCTGGATGTATCCAACTCTGAGACACATCATTGTCACCCTTGACCCTGGTTTTCCCCCGCCCCCTGGGTTTATCATAATTCATATTCTCCAATGGGACACATCCATAGCCAGGAGTCATCAATCATACTCCCCAGTTAGACTTTTGGGTGGCAGAATCTTCAGTCACCTAGAAACTATCTTTGAAAACATTTATGGAATGCAAGCTACCACACTGCTCCCCCCCCCTCCCTTTCTGTTGGCAATTCTAAAAAGACCATAGACATATTTTATGAGTTGACATCAAGGACTTCCTGTATTTGACAATCCTTGAAAACCACTACAAGAAGCTGCTTTATGAGCCATTTAGAATTTCTGAGTTTAATAATTCCGAGTTGTTTCCCCCATCAATAGAAAATATAGGCATTTGAAAAATGGCTGCCGTGATACACAACAGACTACACCAGGAGTGTCAAACTCAATTTCATTGAGGGCCGCATCAGGGTTGTGTTTGACCTCAGGTGACCGGGGGGGGGGCGTGGCCAGCTCAATGTCACTCGTGTCGAGGACGCCTGTGGTGGCCTGAGAACTCTGCCAGTGAAAAAGAGCTCCTAAGCTCCTTTTTCGGTTGCAACAGCCTCCTCTAACACTCTGCCAGTGACAACGGAACTTGGGAGGGCCATGCGAGGCCTGCGCAAGCTCCGTTTTGGGCTGCGGTGGCCTCCTAGAACCCTCTCCAAGCTCCATTTTCACTGGCAGAGGCACCGCTGGCCAGTCCTTCACTGTTTCCAGGCAGCCTCGCGGGCCAAATCTAAGCACCGTTGAGTTTTAACACCCCTGGTCTACACGTTCAGTATCCACAATCAATTTAAATACAAGTAGTCCCCGATTTACGGCCACAATTGAGCCCCAGAATTTATGTTGTTAAGTGAGAAATGGGTTAAGTGAGTTTTGCCTCATTTTACAACCTTTCTTGCCACACTTGCTAAGTGGATCACTGCGGTAGTTAAATTAGTAACACGGTTGTTAAGCGAATCTTGGCTTTCCCAGATGACTCTGCTTGTCTGAAGGTTGCAAAAGGGGATCATGTAACCCCGGGACAATTTCAACCATCATAAACATGAACCAGTTGTCAAGCATCTGAATGTAAATCACATGACCATGGGGATGCTGAAACGGTCATAAGTGTGAAAAATGGTCATGTAGATGCTTTTTTTTAAATATTTTTTTTAACTTTTATATACAATAAATCCATTTCAATCGTGCCGTTGGTTATGTACATATTTCAATTACTTAACAATTATTAATATTCTTATCAACTTAACAATACAACAATAATCTCATTCCCATATACATAGTATAGATGGGATCCAATATGTCTACTATATTAGTTTCTTTTATTGCTCTATAAATACGTCTAACCCCTTTTAATTTGTTCTATTTTCTATCCATTGATAAAACAAATCCCATAACATATAATGTTCAGATTCTTCTTTTTCTTTAATTTCCAATGTTAATCTATTCATTTCTGCACATTCAAATATTTTCTCAGTTACTTTTCCCTCTTATTGGTATCTTATCACTCTTCCAATTTTGGACAAACACAATTCTAGCTGCTGTTAAAACATGTATAATTAAGTAAGTCTTTTCTGTACTATAACCTTCTGGTACTATTCCTAGTAGAAATATTTCAGGCTTCAAATCTATATGTTGTTTAATCGTTTTTTCCAACCATGTGTGTATTTTATATAAAGACACTTTTTCCAGTGCCATTGTAGGTCACTAAATGAACTGCTGTAAGTCGAGGGACTATCTGTCTTCAGTCCTACCCAGGGGTTGGATATTATCTTGGTGGTTTAACATGCCTTGTTTATGAAGCCAAAATCGCAATTATGCAAAACTTTTGGGACTGTTAAATTTTCCAGTGCATTCTCCACACCCCCACCCCCCACAAAACATACTACCAGTAGTATCTTGGTAATCCGGGTGTTCCCTCCTGCAGAGTTTTCTGTCTTATGCAGCAGTTCTGTCTCATTGAGAGCACATTAAGGGAAACATGTTAAAACATCCTCTTGACAGTCCTGTTTCTTTATTGATTTATTAATAGTTAAATGGTCACCAGCCATATTGTGGGGAGGTAGAACAAATCTTGAACACGCTCCTTTTCATTGGAAATAAATAAAAGCAGCTGGAGACAGAGTGATTGGGGAATTGGAGCTCATCTGGCAGATATATTCCATGCATTTGGGTTGGGTTAAAAACCTTTAGGATGCTTGTTATAAATGAAAAATATTCCAGGGTATGAATTTCAATGAGACTCAGTTCTTATAGATTTCTTTTTAATAAGCCAAGTCATTGTTGGGCAAGATGAATAAAAATTGATGTGTTTTTTTTTTTAATTTTTTTTACAAAAATCAGATTTTCTTAAAAATTTAAATCGGATATTTTTGATTTTTATCAAATTTATTTTAATAAAATACTTTTGGAGTAAAAATCTATCTAAAGATAGTTTTCTATTTAAGATACATTAAAAATTTAGTTTATTCAGCATGAAGTTGAGCTTAGTTAGGTAGTTTGAAGCTGTATATTCTGCAATATTTACATTTTTAGTAAACTCATTCAGTGAAGCCAAGCTCTGCAAGCTGAGATAACATGTGCTGCATTGATGCATTCACACAATTTCACAGGAACCATGAGATAAATCATAAAACAAAGTTCAGGAAAATTCCTTTATCCCATTTATCCCGCAAATCTATGTACATTACAAACTCTATGATTGTTTGAAGAGAAATGCATCTGTACCACCAGGCTCTGAGGCGGAAGGGCAAGCAGTAAAATGAAAGTGAAACCTTCTAAGCAGCTTATAAATATAATAATATTAAAGAGCACCTGTCGTTTCAGATCCATCATGGCAGCACCTGTTAGTGGGCATCCATTCACCTGCTGCCTGCCAAATCCCTCACCTTGTTGTGTCATGCCACATCACCAGCCATCCTATTAAAGTGAATGGGCCAGTGGTGGGATTCATTTTTTTTTTACTACCGATTCTGTGGGCATTGTGCGGGTTGGTGGGCATGGCGTGGCTTGGTGGGCGTGGCAGGGAAGGATACTGTAAAATCTCCATTCCCTCCCCACCCCATTAACCTGCTTTCCAGCTCCGTTCTCCTGTGCAGGGCAACCAAAGAAGACCCATCCGATCAGCTGGGACTCGGGAGGCAGAGAAGAGATGGGGGCGAGGCCAGTCAGAGGTGGCATTTGCCGGTTCTCCGAACTACTCAAAATTTCCGCTACTGGTTCTCCAGAACTGGTCAGAACCTGCTGAATACCACATCTGAATGGGACTGTTGGGTTAGTCAACAGTGTGTCAGAAATGACAGTTGCTTTTTAAAAATTATGCTTTATATCGACTTGATTTAAATCAAGCCCTTTTACTAGTGATTTAAATCATGATTTAAATCAACTTGATTTAAATCAAATCCACCCTGTTGTTGGGTCATTCATGAGACCAGATGAAATACATGGGATACCTTCCATGCATTTTCTTGGCAGCCTAATAAAAATGGTTTTACTTCTGCTTTTTTCCCCAGCCTATTTCTTGACTCTATCCTATATCACCCTGGTGTTCTGACCCGGCTCCCAAACACGACAACCACTGTTTGTAACTAAATGTCCCTTTTGTTAGGAGCATCAGCAGCCCCAGCCCAGAGTCTGTCTGTCTGTCTGTCTGTCTGTCTGTCTGTCTCTCTCTGTCTCTCTCTGTCTCTCTCTCTCTCTCTCTCTCTCTCTCTCTCACACACACACACACACATACACACACACACACACGGCTGAGTCTCTTAAGTGCCTGTTGAAAGCAAAGCTCACTCCCTTTCCCTCTGAAATGGCCCAACACACCAGGAGTCTCTCTCTCTCTCCCCCACTCTCATAAAGAAAGTCCTGGAAGGTGGGCCTGCTCGTTTCCAGCATCACACACACACAACACCTGCTCAGAAGGCATGCCAACTCTCAGTGCTGCAGGTACCAGGAAAGAATTCCAGTAAAGTTCCAGACAGGATTCAGAAGTAAGGAGGCTGACCGACACGGACACGAATAATTATCTGCCACACTTATTTGTCTCCCCGCCCTCCCTGCATTTTATCCTCAGAGTTAAGGTGGGGCTTAGCTTGCAGCGGTGGCTCTTCCGTCCCCATGACCAGCCCATAGCGTCCCACTGCTCTCCTCTCCTCTGCCTTCTGTGCATCCGCACGTCAGGCAAAGGACCCAGCTGTTCCTCCTCAGCCACCTCTGGACCTGGGGTCTGTTTCCTCTTCCCCCTGGGAGCTCTCCAATAGCCTTGATGCCGGCTCCGACTCCCACTTTGCTGCCTCCTCTGATTCGGCTGCTGGAGGGGCCGGCAGCCGACAGACCACAACACCTGGCCTTCTCAAATAATCACCATCTAATTACTAATGGGGCAGACGCTTATTAGCTTTCTTGACACTATTATTAACTGGATGCAGGTGTTCCCCGACTTACAACAGTTCATTTAGTAATTATTTGAAGTTACGATGGCCCTGAAAATGGTGACTTGTGACATTTTTCACATTTACAACCATTGTAGCATGCCATCAAAATTCAGACCTTTGGCAACTGGCATGTATTTATGATGTTTGCAGTGTCCCGGGGTCACGAGATCCTTTCTCTGACAAGCAAAGACAATGAGAAAGCCCAGATTCCCTTAGCAACAGAAATGTTTGGCTCAGTTGTGGCCGTAGGTTGAGGGCCACCCATAACGTGTAACGGTTTGGCCTTTCCAAAGGTAGAGTCAAAAGTAAGAGTTATAATTGGCCTTTTTTCCTTCAGAGAGAAGGAAGATGTGCACATTTTAACAATGTGTATCTTGTTTTATAATGCAGGTGTAATGCAGACGTCTTTGTGTGGTGGGTCATGGCCAAAAGCTACGGATGGCACTAGACTCCTTTAGAGTCCACCCTGGGATTATTCCTGGAAGTGCTAAAAGCATTTAAGAGGACACCTTTGGGACTGTTGCTTCCAGGGGCGCTTCTACAGCAGTCATGGCAAGCAAAAGGAAGTCGTCAACTCCATGTATGGTACGAGCATCTGAAGCACCGGAGCCCAGTAACCCCATGGACTACAGTGTAGGAAAAGCACCTGGTGCTCCCGAGCAGGACTTAGAAAATAATTTGGTGGCCAGCAAGGATGTCTTTGAGAATGACTGTGAAGTGATCGAGGGGAAATCTTCTCCAGCCAACCCAACGAGGAAACCCGTCGGTGGTTACGAATGTAAGTACTGCCCATTCTCCACCCAGAACCTGAATGAATTCACAGAGCATATAGACACGCAACACCCCAATGTGATTCTCAACCCTCTCTACGTATGCTCCGAATGTAATTTTACAACCAAAAAGTATGATTCCTTATCTGAGCACAACGCAAAGCTCCATCCGGGAGAAAACAATTTCAAGCTTAAGTTAATCAAGCTCAACAATCAGACGGTCTTAGAACAATCCATTGAGGTGACAGGCAGTGTGGTTGAAACCCCTGACTATGAAGGGGTAGGCGATACAAACAAAGTAGCTCAGATCATTAACCTAGGAAAGCCTAAAGGTGAGGCCAAGAAAGCTGTTGACAGCCATCTTGATGGGATTCCTCAACTTTTTCCAGATATCACTGAGCCAATTACTTGTATTAATGGAGCAGAAGTCCTTCAAGACATTCTGGCCCACGTGATGCCCTCCGTACAGCTCCCGCCAAATATCAACTTAGTTCCCAAAGTCCCCGTTCCCCTGAATAGTACCAAATACAATTCTGCACTAGACACTAACTCTACGATGATCGGCTCCTTCAACAAGTTTCCATATCCTACACAAGCAGAATTGTCATGGCTGACGGCTGCCTCCAAACACCCTGAAGAGCAGATTCGAATTTGGTTTGCCACTCAACGTTTGAAGCACGGCATCAGCTGGTCTCCCGAAGAGGTGGAAGAGGCAAGGAAGAAGATGTTCAATGGCACCATCCAGCCAACACACCAGACCATTACTGTTCTTCCAGCCCATGTTGCCACAGCCAAGATGCCCCAGCCACTGATTCAGACAGCTGTGCCTTGTCAGATACTCAGTCAGACTGGCCTAGTTTTGACCCAAGTCTCGAATGGATCAAACGTTCCCCCAATTACCCTTGCTGTGGCTGCGAACCACGGTCAGAAACGGGGTGTGCAGAACCAGCTGGCTGTCCCAGAAGCCAAACGTCAGCATGTCAACCCAACAGAAGCCTTGGCCAAGCAGAACATGTCTGCTGCTCCAGTAAGCGTAGCAACAACAACGCCACCCTCTACTGTACTGCCAACGTCAACCAGCGACCGCAAAAAAACCAAGGAACAGATTGCGGCTCTGAAGGCAAGCTTCATTGTCACCCAGTTCCCTGACGATGCGGAAGTTTACAGACTAATTGAAGTCACTGGGCTCTCAAGGAGTGAAATCAAGAAGTGGTTCAGTGACTATCGTTACCGGAATCAACGGGGAATCAGCCATATCACGAGTGAATCTGTAGCCAAGGACCATCTTGCTCTAGGTAGCGCGCGACAGGATCCCCCCTATCACCCTTATCCGGATTTCATTTTCCAGCAGTTCAAAGGAAAAACTCAAAAACAAATTGCGATCCTTGAGGAAAGTTTCCTTAAAAACTCTTTTCCTACACATATTGAGTTGGAAAGACTTAGGACCGATGCCAGGATGACCAGAAGAGAGGTTGAATGCTGGTTTGCCGAGCGAAGAAAACTTAGGGATAACATGGAACAAGCCGTCTTAGACTCAATGGGATCAAGCCTAAAGAATAAGGACCCAGTTGCTTCCAATGGTGCAACAAATCAAACAGAGCAGGTCCCCATCTCCCAACCTCCAACGTCTTTGCTTCAGTGCTCCACGGCCTCTGCTCCAAGCAGCCAAGAGCAGGTCCGCTTACTGAAAAATACGTTTGTTAGAACTCAGTGGCCTTCTCCACAGGAGTATGATGAATTGGCAGCTCAGACGGGACTCACCAGAACAGAAATAGTCCGTTGGTTCAAGGAGAACAGAAGCTCACTAAGAATGGGGACCTTAAAATGGCTAGACCATTATCAACAGCGGAGTGTCATAGATGAATGTGCAGAAACTAAGGGTCCAAAGCCACCTGGGCCAAAGAACAACCATGAGGATGTTCAGCTATCCAACAAGGAGGTCCAGAAAGTTGGGAAACTAAGCGTAGAAAATCCAGAACAGCCTGACGTTCCAATTAGCCAAATTAGTCAGGATGGTGAAGAAAAACCAATTGCTAGCAATGTAAATTTGGTGCGGCTGACTCTAGGTGACGATGCTCCTTCAGACTGCATAGAGAGCTGGAACGAAACGGGACCTAAAAGCAAAACAGATTTTGACTCTGAAAGTATATCTGGTGATAACACTCACACCTAGACAGGTAATAACACGGATGCTTTTGTCAGTCTAACTTTTAGCCCTGCCTCATCCTTCCTCTTGATTTATGTTTTTCTCAGTGCCAGCGTATTTTGAGCAGAGTGCTTTTTTTAAGGATGTACACAACGATGGTCTAGAAACAGGACTCTCCAAACTTGGTAATTTTAAGATCTGTGGACTTGAACCCACTTCCCCCAGAGTTCCCTATGTCTGGCTGAGGAATTCTGGGAGTTGAAGTCCAGAGATCTGAAAAGTTGCCAAGTTTGGAGATCCCTGTGGTAGAAGGAAATGAATTTGGAACCATAGAACCTCTCCTGACATTAGGTCAAAAAATAGTTGGGGAATTTGTTATGAACTTGCCTTCCAAGATAAGCAATAATTGCCAAAATCCCCAGTTTTCATTTAAAAAAAAAAGGCCTGTAGCCCTTGTGGAAACAGAGTTATAAAGCAAAATCTGCAGTCACCTTTCTGCCTCTTATATAAAACAAGCCTCTTTCTGTTTTGCAGTGTTTTTAGCCCTTGAACAAGCAGTGTTAATAATTGGTACGGATACAGCCTGGGGAAGGTTTTGTTTTGTTTTGATCTTCCTTGGTGCGACACAATTTTCAGCACCTCAAAAAAGACCCTTGATTCTGAAATTGAAGCTTGTGGTATAAATACAGTTATGTAGTAATGTATTAGCTGAAAAACAAAAAAATGGGAGAGATGATAAGAGTTGGTAATCCTTCTAAGATTGATTTTGCTTTCTTGGTTCAAAAATAAGTGACCCTGCCACTGTGGGGTAGGTAAATCTATTATTGTTTATGTATTTCATGATGATGGAAAGAGGGGCTATAAGATAAAGTAGCCCATCGAGATATCGAAGTCCTCCGATGCCCTTTAGGTAGGGAGGGGAAGAAAGATGGTTGCATGGGTAATCCTGCAAAATAATCCAGTTTGTCACAAGGCTGCTCAAAAATTGGTTTCTTCTTGGGTATTGTTCTTGTGTCGTACCTAGCGTGGACTCTAGATCAGTCCCATGGCACTGCTGAATTCTGACAAAGTTATCAGGGTGTCTGTGTTAATTTGATATATATATATATACATATATTTGTATATATATATATATAAAAGGTTAAAAGTCCAGGTTACCTCTGTCGTTCTTAAAAGAGTTTGGAGCCAAGTCCCAAACACCCACCTTCTTCTTTCTGTATCTGTATACCACTCTTTCTGTAGTTCACCCTACATTTTATTACCTATCAACAGGTGAGTTCTCTGTCATGCTCTGCTTCCTCTTCTCTATGTCCGTGCTCCTTTTTGGTTTTGTATGGTCTTGCACGTTTCTATTTTCTGCCTGTGATCAGTTTTGTGTTCTCTGACACTTTCTCAACAACCTCGACCTTCATCCTTCTTCCTTCGTCTCCTATTGTTCATTCCTGGATCCCACTTTCTCCATCTGTTGTTGTGGTTATCGTTACAAGGAAGAAGAGTGTAGATATGAATGTGTGTATGTGTCACTGGTGTGTGTGTATGTGTGGGGAGGTGAATCCTAAATTCAAAGTCCTACATGTCCTTGAAGTTCAGGAGGTGGCTTTGGGCTAGTTGTCATCTCTCAACAGAGCTTATGTCACAAGGGTTTTGTGGGGATAAATTGAGGAGGGACTCTCCTGTCAATCTTCCTGAGCTTTCAGAGAAGAAATGAGTTATAAGCATAAAAAAATAAAAATAAAAATTTTTTTTCCATTGTGTAGTGGAGATTATACTTCTTTGAAAGAGATATTAATACAGTCTTTATGGTAAAACAGTTGTTCCTGGACACAGAAGATCTTTATAATTACAAGATAGTCTCTAATCTTCCAGTGGTGAGTAATGAGATTGAAAAGTGAAGACCTCATTGCTCCAGATGCATCTGGGAGAAAGTGATTATCTGTACTCATTTCCATTTCACCCCAGATACGATTTTGAGGCTTCCTTTGGTCACCCAGGTGGATGACCTAAGTCAGAAACTAAATGGAGGCAGTGCAACATGGTTGGTTCTAATATGTTCAATCCCAACTTTCATATCTTCTGAGACTAATTTATATGCTTAGATGTACCCAATAGATGCTGTTGAGAAATTAATGTCAGCCCCTAAGTTATTGACCTGCATTATCTCATTGTGTTCTGTCTTGTCCCTAAACTATTTAACATCTACACGAAATCACTGGGTATAATCACCAGCAGCTCTGGGATGGAGTGTCACCAATGTGTTCATTAAGCTCTGTTGCTCCTTACCATTAGCAGTTTGCACCCTTAAATGTTGCTTAAATTTGATAATCTCCTTGGAGGAGCTGAACACGCCGATACTAAATCCAGACAAAATACTGTTAGGAGAAAGATGGACATGGACTTCGGATGAGTTGCACTCCCTCAGAAAGTTCACTGGACATGCCGATGACAGCTGTGGCAAGAAGCATATTTGCACAACAACTAGTGAGCCAGCTATGACCCTTCCTGAACCCTCCAGATTTTACATCCTGTCTGAACTATTGCAGTAAGCTTTACTTGGGATTGTCCTTGGAAAGCAACTGATGAAAAAAAAATATGGTGGTTAGGTTGTTAACCAACGCATGGCATAGGGATGATATACAATGGCTGTACTGAAAGATCTGCATTGGTTGTCAGTTTCCTGTGAGCATAATTTAATTTGCTGCAGTTGACATTGAAAACCTTACATGGTACAGAGCCATGGATTGCATCTTATGTTGTAACTCTGAGTAGTTTTCCCAAAGTATGGAATTAGCAATTCAAGACTGGATTACATCTTCAAAGACAGACCTCTCTTGCATTAAGAAATGTATTTCCTTTACATTTTAAGTTAAGAGATGTTCCCTGAAACATATTTGCAGAGGTTATACGATTTCAGTCTTTTTTTTTAAAAAAAAGCACTTTAACTTTTTCATTTTGTTTCTGCAACAACCAGGCTTAGTATTCAAGTGCCACAACAGTGTTGTTTGTCCACAAAAGACTAGCTAGCTATCTCAGTAGAACCTGTAAGGTACATGACTGTCACACAAAATTGGTTATATGTATTCTGCTTTTTGCTCCAGACATGTAAAAGTATGTTCTGTGCGTAATTGTTAGTATTATTATTGTTATGATTATACACAATGTCATATCATGCCACGTTTGGAGGTTTTGTTTGCATCCTGTCTTTATTATTTGTACAAATAAGTCGAGGTGGCAAACATATCCAACACACCTTTCTCCTCCTATTTTCCCAACAACAGCAACCCTGTGAAGTGAGTAGGGCTGAGTGAAAGTGTTTGGCTCAAGGTGCCCCAGGTGGCTTTCATGGTTAAGGCAAGACTAGAACTCCCATACGCCTGCTTTCCGGCCTGGTTCCTTAATCACTAAGACCAAACTGGTTTCCTTCTTCTCCCATATAATATTCATTAACTACATTGAGTTTAGAACAGATAAAAAGATACAACTGATTATGTAACGTATGGCTTGAACATGTGGAGTTTGGTGCTATCAAATATGATGATGGGTCACATATTAAATATGGACTGAATTAATGCATGGACAATCAGTGTTAGTAGTCTTGGTAGCTGTAGATTGCTTCCAAAATTATTCCTTACAAAATGTACCCTACATAGCCCCACAGGAAGGGAGCATCAGTGGAACTGAGCTCTTACCCTTCTGACATGCTTATGAGTTTCCTAAATGCATCTGACTGGCTACTTGAAAGCTGGACAACAGAAACCTGATCCAGGAGAGATTTTCTTAGATTTTGTTATTGATCCCTTTTATATTTTGCCTTTCTGCTTCTATACCCTCAGTCCTGCAAGGTTGATTGAAAGTGAATGATGAAAGATTGTGATCAGCAAAAATTTCCTGGTTGAACTTCAATCCTCAATCATAATTTCCTGGCTTTTAGTCCATCACCTCAACAACTATCCCGAAATGGCAGTTAAAAACAAAGCCCATTTGCAACACATGAAACACTGTTTTGGATTATCAAAATATAATCTGATGTCAACACTAATTGTCCCGAGAAGTCACTTCCAAGCAACATGAAGACAAGATCAAGTCTAAACTTCAAAACGATGGAGTGAAGTAGTGATTGGGATATTGGGGTAGAATTGGGGAGACCAAGACCCTATAACCCTCAGCCGGGAAGCTCACTGAAGAACTTTGGGTTGGTCACTCTTGCTCAGTCCAGCCTAACTCACAGGGTTGTAGTGAGGAAAATAGGAGGAAAGAATGCGTAATGGCATGTGAGGAGGTCTTTGGGAGACCGGGGAAAGAAATGCAGCTAAAGCAAGAGGCAGATTTACCTCACGGCAGGAATATGGGTGAGTTTGCAGCCTCAGACCGGACTCTTCCTGATTTCTTGGGCTGTAAAAGGGACAAGGACCAGTTATATACTTTTAGATCTACAAGATTCTGCTAGTGTAACTTTACAGTAAAATAGAATTAGCTCATCTGGCCACGTTTCCTGTCTCATCTAGCTGGCAAGGCTGAAAGTATGTATCTCTCCACCACCCCTTCCCATTCCGTTTACAGCCCAATAAACTAAAACGTGACTGCATTTGGGACACTACACAACTGGCCTGCGTTTACGGCCATTTGCAAGACTTCCTGGTCATGTGACCATGATTTAGGATATTTTTGCCAGAAACTCCCATTTACTTCCAGTTGCTCTCAAAAGCTGTCCTGATTTTTTTCCTCCTTCCGTATCTAGATTAAACTTTAAACCACCGGAATGAAGCCACCTTCTTGGCTTTATTGGCCCAAAATAAATCATTATCTATACATGTTTCTGGTAATAGATAATGTACCAGCAGATGGGCTGGGCTCTGTGTGTCTCCACATTCACATAGCATGTTGTTATCCACTAAGAGCCTCCACTTGAGTATAATGGATTTACATTTAGGCCCTTTAACTCTCAACCTATTGAAGGTCCTCAAAATAATAATATGAGGGGGGTGAGATCCTTCAACCATAGCCTCCTTTAATGTTATTCCATTCGCGATTTCAAACCATTCCAGAGTAAACAATGAGTTCGCTGAAGAACCGTGACACTTGCCTTACAATTGCCTTTTTCACTTAATGACCACTGCAAAAAAGATGATAAAGTGACCATTACAACTTACAGCCGAGATTGCAGGCACAACGCCAGCCATAAGTTGAGGATTAATTGTATTCAGGAGAAAGGGCAACGGGAGCCATTAATGTTTAAGATCAATTTATATTAATTGATTAAACACAAAAACAGTGTTAGAAATCCAAGAAGGTTGTTTTTTTTTTTGTATTCCACCCACTTGCTGTTCCTTTTCTTCCTGTTTGCATAACTCTGCTCTTTCATTCACATTTTAACCTTCCAATTGAAGATCCAAAAAATGTGCCCTCTAGTGGGGGAAAAGTCAGTATTCTTACAATTGTCTGAACATATGTTTTAAACCCATTCCAGTATAGAATAAACAACTTACTGAGCTCACTCAGATTAATGGGTCAGAGGGGTGCATGATTATCCTGTAACATATATCAGAACGATGATACATTTCACTTTTTAAAAAGACTTGAAGAAGGGTACCTTAATGTCAAACAGACCTTTCAAAGTGCATTAGTTATATCTAATACTACTGTCTGCTGATAAAATGAAAGCTGTCTGCAGACTAAAAAGTATGTTGCCTCCAGCATTATTTTCACTTTCAAAAATCCCTGTGAGCTTCACATATGCTCCAGAGCCACCCGTTAGAAAATTAAAATTGTGAGTGGCCATGAGAATGGGTGCATCCACCTTTCAGAAAATATTTTATTTCTGGATTAATGCAATGCAAGCTCTATGGAGCTGCCATTGAAGATCACTCAGAAGCTACAGCTGGTCAGAATGCTATAGTGCGAATTGTTATGGATGAACCTCAGTACATCCATATATAATGCCAGTATTTGATAAGTACAAGGTAGATGGCTTCTGGATGTAATTCAAAATTACACTAAAAGTTATCACTTTTAAAGTCCTATGTGGACCAAAGCCTTGTTACTTGCTGAATGTCCTGTCTTCGATTATTGTGGCCCCTTCAGGAAGATCTGGCAGGAGTGGTATGTTCCAGATCTAATCTCTAAGCCAGGGCTCTCCAAATTTGGCAACTTTAAGACTTGTGGACTTCAACACTCAGAAATCTGAGAGTTGGCTGGGGAATTCTGGAAGCTGAAGTCCACAAGTTGCCAAATTTGGAAAGCTGTGGTTTAAATCATGACATCTTATGAGGCCCAGGATGCATGCTTTGTCTGCTGCTGCATCTGCCTTAAGGAAGAGTATTTTCTCATGATTCAGACACTACCAATCCTGCCTGTCTTTTGCAAAGCCTTGAGGCCCTGTTTTTTTTTTCCCCCAGGCTCTGAGTCAGGAAGATTGGTAAACCCATCTGGAGTGAGCATTTCACTTGCTGAATGCCTCCAGCATAATTTGTTTCATGCTTTATTCCTTTTCATTATTGCTTGTATATTTTTATAGCTGGGTTAACTGTATGCCATCCTGAGCCATTTACCAAGAGAGTGGCTACACAAGAGATAGGAACTGGAGAATATGAAGCCTCCTAGATCTTACTAAATGGGCAACAATAATTGGAGAAAAGTCATAAAATGTTATTGACTGCCAATAAAACCAGAGGTTGTAATCTCTAATCTAATCTAGATGGATGGCCAAGAGCCAGTTGTGGTGTAGTCATTAAAGGCACCCAAACCTGAAGACTTACAGTGGAGTTCTAGGCCCGTGTTGGACTTGAAGGCAACTGAATGACTGTAGGCCACCCCTCTCTCTTAGCCCCAGGAAGAGGGGTGGAGCAGATGACTTCTGAAGATATAGGTGAACCTGCCCCTGAAACAATGAATTGGTTTCATGTAAATAGTTGTGGGTACATAAGGAGAAATTTTCTGACAGTGAGGGCAATCAATCCGTAGAACAGCTTGCCTTCAGAACTTGTGGGAGCTTCATCACTGGAAACTTTCAAGAAGAGACTGGATTGCCATCTGTCAGAAATGATGCAAGGTCTGCTGGAGCGGAGGGTTGGACTAGTTGACCTGCAAGGTCCCTTCCAACTATTAATCTGTATCCATATCATATCCAAGTAGGATTTCATCGTTGCTAATAATTCCAGTTTAGGCTCCAAGGGACAATAATACTGAAAGAATTGGAGCTGAGTTTCAAGGAAAATTGTGCTCCTTCACACACCCTCTTGCTTGTCCACACTCGTTTTTGTACGTGTGTTATGACATTGCACACATCATGTCATAAGAGGTGGAGCTTAGTTAGCAACGCTCAACTTATCATTCTGACTGAACTTTCAGATTCTGAAAGAGTTCTGAAGGAAAGTGGATTCAACACAAAAAAATAAGTGACAGGCCACCAGAAGTCCATTGAACAGAAGTCCGTTGAAAGAACGAATGAGGTTTGAAATGCAAAATCACCTTATGAAGGAAGAGAAAGTCATGATTGGATGGAATTGAAAGTCAGGGTTGGAGGACATCATCATGATTGGATGAAACTGATTCTCCTCAGAATGAAGGAGATGGGGAGTTTAATTAGTCCCAAGACAACGTAGGAAACCTAATCTGGGTGTGATGGAAGCAAGGATGATTTGCAAGAATAAAAGATTTTGAGTGGTTTACTGAATGGTGTGAACTACATTTCATCACATTTCTTTTTTCCTACCTCGTTTGTATGTATGTATTTATATATATATATATTCATTTTTCATCACATTTATTACAAACTGGTGGGCAGCATATGGCAAAACTAAAACAAATAATACAAAATAATTGTGAATATCATTATTAAAAGCTTTAAGATAATAAAAAAAACAAAAAACTAAAAGGGAAAAAAATCCCATTGGGTGGCAAGCAGGTGCTAATAACAGTGAAGAAATCTCAATATTTCAGCATTTCCCTGAGGTCCCCATGCCTAATGGCACAACAGGGCCTTGATGGACTCCCAGAGAGACAAAATGGACGCCGGTCTCATTTCAGGGAGTAGTCTCCATAATGTGGGCATCACACCTGAAAAACCCTAACCCACTGCCTAGGAGCCGCCAAGTGTAGCTCCCTAGTTCAGGAGTCTCCAACCTTGGCAACTTTAAGACTTGTGGACTTCGACTCCCAGAATTCTTCAGCCAGCGAAGCTGAGGAATTCTGGGAGTTGAAGTCCACAAGTCCAAATTTGCCAAGTTTGGAGACACCTGCCCTAGTTGACGGGACCTGCAGCATCCCTTCTTTGCTGGGTTTGGCGAGACTTGGGCAGATATAATTGGGGAGAGGAAGTCCCTCAAGTAACCCAGTCAGTCCCATGCCATGTAGGGCTTTAAGATCAAAACTTATCACCTTGAATTGACCCTGTGGAAACAGACTGATATCCAATGCAACTGACTGAGTGGAGGTATAACGTGTTCTTCAACAAACACGTATAACTGCCAGCGCTGCTGTATTCTGTACCAGATAAAGCTTTCGGAATTTCTTCTTCACATCTTCAAATCTTTTGACTTGCGATTTCTTGTTCTTTTTTTCCGCACGTCCCATTATATGGCAGTGAGAGTGCAATAAGAAGTGTTGTTAATTGTTTGCATAGATGGAATTTGGCCAATTTGCATCCCAATAGCAGAGGCCGTTCTAGGTCTCCTTAGTGAACTGCCTACAGTAGGTCTGTTCCATTTCATAAAGCACCTGGAATAATAGAACATGTCTGTAGACTGCTCACCTTGCATATTAATATTAGGCTGGAAAAAACCAACTTGCTGTAACTTCTGGATAAGCATTTGCTTTTTCTCATTTATAGGCATTTCATTCAGCATTCTAGTCCTTATCTTTTCACTCTTGTGAGAGCACATGGTTACTAATCCTGGGATCACATAAGGTCTTCGAAAGTAGGATAGTCACATTTGGACTCCAGAAACCACGGGTCAAGGTGGAAGAAGAGATCCTTTCTGGCTTATTTGGAGAAGTTTTATGTGCCAAAGTCCCACTTGGTGGATTTTTTCTAAAAAATAAAAAAAAATGAGGTCCTTGTATATAAGTTTCCCCTGTAGTGTGTTGTTTTCCCGGTTTCTTGAGGACGTTTTGTATACTTACACTGCAGTGTTATATTTTTTGCTATCGTTTTTGTTAATCGATCATTGCTGTCTGAAAACAATACTCCATCTAATCCCTTTCCTACAAATTGGTAATCCCTGTATCTCTCCTTGTGGTAATTTGGAAACGTTTTGGCCTACTGCATTAATTTCTACCCCTAAAAATATACTATTATAAGCTTGGTGCAGTGATTAATTGGATTTGAAGCCACGGGATGGGGAGTTCTAGTTCTGCCCTAGGCACAAAGCCAACTGGGTGACTTTGGGTCAAACTCTCTCTCTAGGAAGAAAGATACTGCAAAGCTACTTCCAACAATGTTGCCAAGAAAACTGCAGGGACTGGCTCCTACAGTTATCGGGAATCGGGGTGACTTGATGGATTTACGACAGTTGTTTCAGTGGATGTTGTAATCATCTCGTTTTGTACTTTTGCTCTTCTCAAAACATTTGTTTGCATTCATTTTGTTCGTGTTTTACATGTTTGCTTTTTCCACACATTTTACACATTGGCTGGTGGGCATTCTTCTCTTTGCATGGAAGGTAATCTTCGTCAAATTAGGAGAAAAAAAAATCTGTTCATGCACCCAGTAATTCACCGTTTGCCAAACAGTTGGACCCAGCACACTAGAGATGTCAAATGCTATTGCTTGATCCAAGTACTTTTCTACTACCGGTAGTACAATCTGAAACACAAAAGAAACTTTGCAACAGAGGGCTTAACTTTATACCTTAACGTGTTTATGACTTTTTTGTTTGTTTGTTTGTGAGTTTTGAGCTAGATTCTAGCACTTTTATTCTTCGGTGACTGCTGAGAAGAGAGGGAGAAATATTGAATTACTGGCTGTCTTTGATAAAAAGTTTAGATGACTTTTGCATGGTTTGGAGAGAATGTTCCATTTCCCTCCAATACACCCTACTTAACAATGCTAGAGATTTTAATTAAAGAGACATTTTTCTAACAATTGTTTGTTTGTCGTGATTCAGTAAAACAATGTTTTTGATAAGTTTTTCCTCTTGCCTCTATTTTTTTTAAGCAGTAACTTGTATTTCAGAGTCAGTCCAACTCATCTAGAAGGGATGCGAAGTCTTCTGTATAACCTGGACAACTCAATTATCCAGCATTAACCACCTGAGAATTTGGGTAGAAACAAAACAATCCTGATAATGTAAGATAAATTTATCAGAGGAAGAGACAGGTGCTATGGTTTAAGTCATTGTTCCTTTTTAGTCTGAATTAGACATCTAGAATATATCTTCTGAGCACTACGTGTTAGAAAAACCCTTGGCCAACTAGGTTCTAGGACAACTTGCCACGGCTAACTTGCCACAAGACAACTCACCACAGCCAACTCGCCATGGGATAAAAGTTAAACATACCGAAGATACTGTGGAATAGAAACATTAAGGAAAGGATGCAGAGAGAGGGACAAGATGAAATGAAAATCATAATTTTTTTAAATTAATTATTCTAAATATTTAAATTGAATTGTGGAATTATCCCACAGTGAGTTGGCAGCAGCAAGTCATCCCATTCCATGCAAACTGATGCATATCCTAAGGAGAACATCTATGAGACTAAAGGGCCTGGAAGGAAAGGCTTACGAGAAATGGTTGGGAGTGCGGGGAAATTGCAGAGATATAAATCTGTCATGAAATACCTGAGGTTTTTGTCGAAGATGGGGCAGAATTTTTCAAACTCTTTCCAGAAGACTGGAAAATAAATTGGTTATACAGGTAGTCCTCAAGTTCATTTATTATCCCTTCAAAGTTACAATGGCACTGAAAAAAGTGACCTTTGACTGTTTTCACAGTTACCACCTTTGCAGTATCCCCGTGGTCATGTGATTAAAATTCAGCTACTTGGCAACTGACTCATACATATGACTGTTGCAGCATCCCTTGGTTATGTGATCCTTTTCTGATAATCAGTGGGGAAGCCAGATTCACTTAACAACCAGGTTACTTAACTTATCAATGCTTTAACAGCTGTGGCAAGAAATGTTGCAAAATGGGGGAAAAAATTTCTTAAGTTCTCACTTAACAACATAAATTTTGGATTCAATTGTCACAAGTCAAGGACTACCTGTACTTCAGCTACTTCTGGAGAGGCACAGGTTTCTCACCTGAAGACAACCAAAATATGATGGGCTCTAGGGAATCACTATATGGTTTAGTGGAAAAGTAGAGTGCTGATTTTTTTCCAAGCCAGGGAAAATGCCTTTTTTCACCACCCTTTGGTGGGTTCAAAAATCTCTTGAAGTTACAACACGGTAATATAAAAGAGATAACAGAACCAAAATAAACAACTGGTTACAGTTTTACAGCTTTAATTTAAAACTTTACCAATGAAAAGAACAAAAAAAAAAAAGAATTTAGTTACAAAAAGAGAAGTTGTCTATACAAAAGAATAGAGGTACCTGTTTCACAACAGAATCTGCCCTTGACATTATCAACTTAAAATTGGGTATAAAGTGCTTCAGGGGAACAAAGCAAGGCTGAAGAGTTATGAGAGTGAATTACATTTAGGAAAGCAGTCTGGTGTTACTCTTGCAGACCAATTTTTGAATGAAATCATTGCTTCTGAAAAATCAGCATATCAAGAAAAAATGCAGATAGAGGCTGTCTCTTTAATAAATAGGATTTCCATGTGCAGAGATCTGCTGATGTGGAGATGCAAAGAACCAAACCCAATTTTGAGGATAGAAATGTATTCCCTCACCTGTCCTCGCCTATCTGAACAAGGTGTACCTAAACCACAAGTCACTATCAAGGCATTCCCACATACAGTGTAACCTGGTTATCTAGGTGTCCTTCCTGATTATCTGAAGTTACTCAGAGATAAGCAAGCAAACCTAATCTCCGTTTTCTTCCTATTTTATGCTAGTAAAGGTGTGGAACACATTAGCAATTATGTTTCTGCAAACATGGGAGGTAAATTGTCATTATCAGTTCCCACAATTGAAGAGCTTAAGTTACCGTTCTGTTGACCAGAACACCTCTTTCACAGTGAAAAATGCTGGGAAGGTAACAGAAACATTTTTTTCATTATTTATTTGAGTGCCGTGCTCCACGGAGGAAATTTAGATGCATGTCTTCATACAAATCCAACAGAAAGGTCCAAGTGAAGGATCCCCCAGTAATACCTTTCTGAAGAACTACTGGAATATACCGGAATAGTTTCCAACAATGGGAGAATTTCATTTGGAGATTTTTTTTCCCTTCTTTCTCCCAAGTCAAGGAATTCATAAATAAAAAAGCAGCATGACTGGGATAACTCTCCTAATCTTGATTCCTCCTTTTATTATTTTTTAATTTAATCTAAAAATATGACATGTACAATCCTATTAATTGTGTATATAAGGAAGCAATCTGGCCTTTTAAGTGTGCATTCTGAAGACTGAAAAAAATGCAGCCTGCATAAGAAATGTTAGCCATCTGCAAGTCCACCGATATTTTGTCCTGGATTTTAACCTACTGTATATTCTAATCTAGATCTTAATAGCTGACTTCTTGCTTTACAAACAGGCTAGCTTTGGCCAAAATAATGTTTGCAATATGTTTCTTCACTTAACATCTAAAGCACAGCACACATCTGCAAGGAAAAAAAGCATTGAGCTATACAGCTGCTTTCTAATTTGCATAACAACGCCCCAAAAGTTAATTTAAAATGGTTGCTTGGTTTTTTTGGCAGAAGAATCTGAGCAACCTAAGGCTGAAGTTTGCACACCATTCTGTCTTCTTTTGTCATTTTTTTCCTCTGGGGTAACTCATAGAAACACAAGAGTATCCAACTACATTTTAAAAAGTAGGTTCCTATTTTACAAGTAACATAATCTGGGTCTTTTGTCAGTTTATCATATATAAATAAAAACCAAGGGCAGATTGATAAAAGAATCAAGAAATTGATGCTAACTGAATTCTTTGTCTACATATATACTACTGCACTATTGGAAACATCATTGACTTTCCTTGGAGTCCATAAAGGGATTACAAACTAGTTGCGGACAACAGTGAAATCACTCCCAGTTTATCAAACCAGTCACTGACTCGAAGGAGCATCGGCCCGGCATGAAGAAATTGTGAAGGGAAAAACAAAGCATAATTATGAGTACAGCACTTCCCATTTTGGAGAAGCATCATTTCCTAGCAGAGCTGAATGTGTATCTCTGTGTGTATCCATATTTGTATTGTTCATTTGTATCCCTATTTTAGAATAGTAGGCAGTTCGGCTAATGCAGAGGTGGGAAATGATGGGCCCTGTATGACTTGTAGACTTCAACTCCCAGAATTACTGAGCCATCCTGGCTGAGGAATTCTGGGAGTTAAAGCCCACAAGTCGCAAAGGGGCCATCATTTCCCACCCCTGGGCTAATGTAATTAGGGGAAGTGGACAAGACTAGGATTGCTGTGATGCTTCTTGGATTTTCATAGTGGGTCTTGTCTAGTTAATTCAGACAAACTCTAGAGAAGGCCAATCATTTTAAGCAGTCTTTCCCAACTATTACAATTACCAGCTGTGTGGACTTCAACTCCCAGAATTCCACAGTCAGCATGGCCATTGAGGAGAGGAGAATTCTGGGAGTTGAAGTCCACCCAACTGGTAATAGTTGGGAGTTGGAAGTCCACCCAATTGGTAATCACCACAGTTGGGAAACACAGATTTGAAAGACAAAGGGAAGGTTGACTCCCCCTTTTCACAGCACACCTGGCAATGTTTTCCAACATCACCTGTTAGCAGCTCCAAATTATGACATCGGGCTCTTAAAATGAAAACTAATCACCATCTTCCATCAGCGATTCCCCCATACTATTTATGTGCTTGTGTTTCATTCAAAAATGAAAAATGCTGGAGGAAGTTAGTATTTGTTTTATTAAGCTCAGCTATCTGATTCCTGTTGCTTTTATGGTTGTACAAAGAGGTATTTCTACATTAGCCATTCAGCAGTTTTTTCTGCATTCTGTCTTCTTACACTCGTGTGCAAGAGAAGCATTGCCTAGTCCTTCAATCCAGGATACACATGCGAAAGCCACCATTATACATTCAAGGCAACAGAGGTTATTTTTTTTCTCATTTCCAATTAAATATGCATAGGATTAAACCCCATCATCAAAATCAGGATCAACAGTACTTATTCCAAAGTCAGTGCAGACAGAACTGGACATTTAAAATGCGCCACATTTGCTATGCTGGGAATACAGAGGCTACAGTAAGCTTGCAAATTTAAAAGCTAGCATTATTTAGCCAAACCTTTCTTCCTTTGTTTAATGGCTCCAGGTAGAATTCATTACCATTCGAATCTGATTTAGCTAAATAAGTACTTGTCACTCAAAAGGGGAATTTTAAAAATAAAAGTGGCTTCCAACTAAATAAAAGAGAAATGCAACTGTAGATACCTGAAGTGTTTTTCTTAGCATTACTGTACACTTGGAACATTTAATTTAACTCAAACTGGAGCAAGAAAAGACTTCAATGACTGTTTTTTGGTTTTTTTTACCACAAATTGGATTCAGGGAGTTTTTTTGTAGGAGTCTTACATGAAATGAGGCCTACAAGATCAACTGAGGAACATGAACTCCCGTGAGAGAGGGGTTATAGAAAGTACACCCTTTAAAAAAATGTATCATTCTTTTTTCTTTTAATGGCAGCAGTGAATTAAAGAAGTTAATGGCCTGGAATAAAATCTTAAATTGTCTCTTCAGTCGTGTTGTCTTCCACCAGGAACAAACAAGAATTCGTAATGGGTCAGAAGAACCAACAACACTAGAGCAAACCTGCTCCTCAGGATACCCTCCACAGCAAGAAACATTCCCATGTGTTGTCGAAGATGTTCCTCACAGAAAAAAAGGAAGGGAAAAAAAAAAGCAGAAAGTTTTTGTTGGTTTGTTTCATTGATCACCCAGCCGGAAGCCCTGGCCCCAGTTGTGTCGTGTGTCTCCCTGGCGATTATCTGCGGGTCTTCGCATACTGGCAGGAGGAACCCCGAATCCAGATACCCCTCCCCTTCTGTTGGGCAGCCATTTGTACCTGTGGGTAAAGAGAAAAAGCAATTCAGACGGTCATCCTAGCCCCCAATTCGGCTTTATTGAATTGAATTCTTTATTGTCATTGTACGTATATATACAGTATACATATAATGAAATTCACATAACAGAGACCAGACCCAACATGCACACACACGACAATCCCCAAACACCTCCCCACCCGCCAAAATTCCCCGCCTCCTAAAAACACACAAGCATCCACACAACAGACTGTTCTGACCCAAATCCTTTTCCAATAAAGCAAACACGAACCAAAGGGAACAGAAACCTTTTAATGATTCTTACAAATCCCCGGTTAAAAGGCTGCTGCAAACTAATTAACTTTGATAAGCATGAGCCTCACCAAAACTGCAAGACTGCCAAGAATCACAGATAAGAAATATTTCACAACACAACAGTCTTAAAATACCAACTTAAGATACTGTAATGTCCATGAGGCTGAGTTTCAAAACGTCTTTGCTTCCTGCAAAGAACGTTCGCTTTACAGCTGGCTTTTATCTTCTTGAAGGAGGGGCCATTACCTGGCAGCCTTACTTCTGAGTCGCCCGTGCTGTTGCAGTTGCTCTTTCCTGCTTTCCTAGCAATCCTACATGCGCTTGGCACAGGCTCCTCAGGAACCTCATCATTGCTGCCAGCCCCCACAATCTCTGAAGGCCACTCCCCAATAGTCCTGGCCCCTCATCTGAATCCTCGCTCTCCTCAGCCATCCGCACCTGCTGCCGGCTAACCACAACACAGACCAAGTAATACTGCCCAACAGCTCACTGATGGTGGTCCTTCAGTTCATTGTTAAGTGCAATTATAACTCTGGGACAAAAACTATTCAGAAAACGTGTGGTCTGAGTTTTAATTGTTCTGTATCTTCTGCCAGAAGGTAACAGTCCCAAAAGATTGCGAGCAGGATGGTAAGCAGCAAAACGAGACTTCAGCAGAGATTGAAATTGAGGAAGCAACAAAGGCTTAGGCTGCAGTTTCAATACAGGTAGTCCTCGACTTGCAACACTTCACTTAGTGACCATTCCAAGTTACAATGGCACTGAAAAAAGCGACATACAGTGCAACCTCGGGTCGCAAACGCTCCTGTTCATGAACAAAAAATCCACCCGATTTTTGAATCAGGTCACGATTCAAAAACCGGGTGGTGAACAAAATCGGCGCAGAAAGATTCTCTTTCCACGCAGATTTCCCCTTCGGCACCATTATTTTTGTCCGCGCATGTGCAGAGGGTCATACTTTTGGTCACGACCAAATTGGGTTGCGGCCGAAATCCAAAACAGATTATGGTCACGACCCGAGACTACTGTATGACCATTTTTCACACCGATGACCGCTGCAGCATCCCCAGGGACATGTGATTTATAATATTCAGATGCTTGATAACTGGCTCATATTTATGACAGTTGCAGCATCCCAGGGTCACATGATCCCCTTTTGTGACTTTCTGACAAGCAAAGTTAACAGGGAAACCAGATTCACTTAATGACCATGTTATTAACAACCGCAATTCACTTAACAAACGTGGCAAGAAAAGTCATTAAAATGGGGGAAAACTCATTTAACACATTTCTCAGCAACCTAAATTTGGGGCTGAGTTGTCATAAATTGAAGACTTACCTGTACAAAGCAGCTGGAATGCTTTGGCTTTCTTTTTTAACCAGTTAACCAAAAATTCTGAGAAATAGCCAAAGAAAAGCTGCTCTCTGTGTCTTACTGAAAATTAAGAAGCTTCCCAGCTTAATAGGAGGATCAAGTGAAGGTCATTAAAACTGCTTTTTCAGCCTGGTTAAAGCACCAGAAAGCAGGGGCAGTATTTTGTAAATGAAGTATACAGGTAGTCTGTCATGCCCCTGTCGGAGTCTGAATCCAAGGAGGAAGACGAACAACTGACAGGGAATGGGAGTGTGGCTCCATCGGCTGTGGATGAAACTGGGGAAGGGCAAAGTCCGGCTGGGCAGAGCAGGGGAGAGGTAGAACAAGGGAGAAGAGTTCAGAGGAAGACCCAGGCCCATCACTTCTTCATCCTAGGGCACGCAGGGAGAGAACGGAGAAGGGAGCAACGCGGGTTGCGTGGCTTATGGGGAAGGAAATTCTCTTCATTAGCCACACTCGGGAATGAGAGTTTAAAAGAAATGCATGCTGAGTGCAGCTGCTGCTGGGAGCAAATGGAGTTTATCTTGTGTTGACTTTGATTATCTGTGCTCCTAGTGTCTTCTCAAACATCCTTCACGTCTGGAATTCCTTCTCTTGCCCTGCCAGATTAATTACCTCATTTTGCCTTGATTGGACTTATAAAGTTTTTGTTGACCACGTTTTGGACTTGATTCTCTGCAGCCAAAGGCTGTTCCTGGGAGAGTTTTTCTCCAGCCAGAAGGTAACCAGGACATTGAGGGCAAACTTGGAGCTAATAAAGGGACTCCTACTGATTATCTGTGTTGCTTTTGTGTCACACCCCAGGTCATCACATTGTCCTTCACTTACAACCATTTGTTTAATGACCATTCCAAGTGACAGCAACACTAAAAAAGTGACATATGACCATTTTTCACACATACGACCAACTGTTGCAACACCCCTGTAGTCACGTGATCAAAATTCCAATGCTTTGTCAAGGGACTCATATTTATGATGGTTGCAGTGTCCCAGGGTTATGCGGTCACCTTTTGCGACCTTCTGACAAAGTCAATGGGGAGACTAGGCTCACTTAATGACCATGTTGCTAGCTTAACAACTGCAGTGATTCATTTAACGATTATGAAAGGTTTGTAAAATGGGGCAAAACCCACTTAATGGTCTTGCTTAGCAAAAGATATTTTGGGCTTAATTGTGGTCATAAGTCACAGACTACCTGTAAATGGGGTGTGGCTAAATTTCAGCCTCTGTCACTGGACAGGGATGTTATTTTACTTTTGGATTTATATCTAACTCTCCCTGGTCTTCCCTGCAATTTCCCGTTAATGTAAGTCTTGAATTCTCTCTCAGCTTTCTATTTTGAACTGAAAAATTATAGCCTATTGAAAAAATATAGCCTCGACCTGGTTTTTACTCCCAGGAAGCTTAACAAACAGATCACACATTTTCCTTGCATTCTTACCTCATTAAACTTAATTTTATTTTAAATACCATCTCCAATTCTCTTTTCCCTTATTGAGTCAGACAGGAAATGAGTGGATTTGGCTTTTCTGCTCAACCTGTGAGAGTGTTCTTACCCAGGAGTCAGATGACTCTTGTGTGTCAAGGCTGAGATTACTAATTACCACAAAAGCACACAGGTGTGACATCGTATCTATCTCTAAAATAATTTTTAAAAAGCACCTAGTTGCCTAGCCCTATGTCACAGAATCAGATGTACCAGCTCCCACTCATCACAAGGACACCAATAATTTTGCTACAGATGTATTCTTTGCTTTCTTTAATATCTGTGGCAGAGAACATAGAAGCTGTAATTCACTCTGAATACTGAGCCAGGTGTCCAACAGCTTCGTGGACAGAAAACCTCAACATCTGAGCTAAGCCTCATCCTTAGGGTCCTTTCTTTTGTTTTAGTAAGAAAGCCAGTTTGGTTTAGGTGGTAAAGGCATCAGGCCAGAAGCCAGGGGACAGTGAGTTCTAGTCCTGCCTTAAGCATGAAGGGTGGCTGAGTGACTTTGAGTCAAATTACCGGGGGACTGTGAGTTCTAGTCCCACCTTAGGCATGAAGGACAGTGGGGTGGCTTTCGGCCAAATCACTCAGCCAACCCAACCCAACCCAGGATTGTGGTAGGGAAAAAAGGAGGAGGAAATAATATTAGGTATGTTATTTATAAATAATAATGGTGGGATAAAAAATAAATAAACAAAAACCAGTCATTTTAGCTCCTCTGGAAGGAGAATTGGAAGACAGACCTCTGCAAGTATTCTTCTACTTGCAGTGCTCCTTCAATTTAAAATTGGAAAGACACCAATTAGTTTTAAAGGTAAAATCTTCCTGGAGTCAAGACTTACATGACCATGTGAATAGATTTAACCTGACAATAATATGGAAGGCAGATTAGATTAAGATTAGAGATTAGAATAGATAGACAGACAGACAGACATGATAGGCAAAGAGAGAGAGAGAGAGAAAGCAAGAAAGAAAACATTTTTAAGCAGAGGTCAAAAAGAAAAAGGCCAACTCTGGAACTTGCTGCCATTATCATTATGCAGCAACATTTCAGGAAAATAAAGGAGGAAGTGAACGGATCATATTTGGGAGCTTGTAATAATTTGAGTAACTTGAATCAACGTTTCCCATTTGTCTATGTCAGAGACAAAATATGAATGAAATGCAGCAATTGACCTAATTACCTATCTATCCATCTGGAAAAATGTGCACGGGTCTCATTACTGCCATTGTACTTTTGTTTTCAGTTCTAATTAGAATAACATTTCAACATTCCAAAGTATTCGAATCTGATTAAAAAAAGAAGATAAAACCAACTTACAGAAACTGAGGTGTTGACAGAAAATTTCTTCCTCCCAAATCCATTGGGTATTTAAACATTAAGAAAAAATACAGATGACCAACCAAGTTGCCGATCAATTCATTGATGATGCTGTAGGATATTAGGAAACAGCATTTTACAGCGTTAAAAATGAGCAATTGAAGCATTTTCTACTAATAATGTGAACGCATCTTAATCAATGGGGCCAATTTCTAATGGGTTTGCACTGCTGAAGAGCTTGAGAGCTGCTATGACTGAAAATAACCCAGACAAGCTACCCCAAGGGTTGCATATTGTCTGCAAACATTTTTGAAAAATGTATTTTGGCAAATCTGTGGGGAAGACAGTGCTAATGGACTAAACACTGAATTTAAAAAGTGAATGCCATCAAAATAGAACTTAGAAATGATAAAAGTCACAATCTCCATCATCGACTGCATCTATCTGAACTGCATACTTCAGAAGGCCTTGAGACAGTACAATTCATGATTAGGGAAGACCGTTACAATCCCAATATATTCCAAGTATTGATGGCCACTTAAGTACCGTATTTCCCCATGTATAAGCCACCCCTTTTTTCCAAAATTTTCAAGCCCAAAAAGTAGGGGGTGGCATATACAAAGCAGGTACACTTTTTATACGTGAAAAATGCATAAAATAATAAAGTAGGAATAAACTGGTTTTCCAGCAGTATGCTATACTTTTTTGTAAAAATTGTAAGTGACGATACGATTACGAGTGCGAGTACGCGATAGAAATGCATACGCTAGGCATCGGCCTGAATGCTTCGTTCCTACTCTTGTTCCGATGCATAGATTGCTAGCGTCGCCCGCACCGCTTTCGGCGTCATGACCGAAGTTGTAGATCTAGACGTCGAATTTTGTTTCTTTGTAAATTTTCTTTCTTCATAACTTGTTTCTCTAATAAAATATTTTTTTCAAAACTTCACAGTCCAAAAATTGGGGGGGTGGCTTATACAAAGGGGGTGCTTATACATGGGGAAATACGGTATTAATCCTTCTTCTAGCTACGTACACAGAAAGTTGAGTGCCACTGGAAAAACAGTAATAACTGAAATCATTGAAAATTAGATTCCAGAAGAATTTTTAATATTGGGCTATAATTTCAGAAGGTAGTTAAGCTGGCTTTCCTTGGGAAACTTCATTGTTAGGAATTGAAACCCGAGACTCTTAGTAAAAGGTAAAGGTTCCCCTCACACATACATACTAGTCGTTACTGGTTCTAGGAGGCGGTGCTAATCTCCATTACAAAGCTGAAGAGCTGGCACTGTCTCTGTGGTCATGTGGCCGGCATGACTGAATGCCAAAGGTGCACGGAATGCTGTTACCTTCCTACCAAAGTGGTCCCTAATTTTCTACTTGCATTATTACAGGCTTTCGAACTGCTAGGTTGGCAGAAGCTGGAGCTGGGACAAGTAATGGGAGCTCACTGGTTACGCAGCGCTGGGGATTCGAACTGCCAAACTGCCGACCTTTCTGATCGACAAGCTCAGCATCTTAGCCACTGAGCCACTACATCCCCTGTTAGTCCCCTGAGATTCTTACTAGAGTTACTCAATTTATAAAGACACAACTAGGCAAGGTGGAAATTAAGCAGGACAGCAACTGATCAGTTTCATGCTACCTCCTAAGCAGTTTTTTTCAATTTCATAAGGCCTCCAGAATTGAGCTGTCAAAATTAAGTAGCCAGTGCTGTGCACAACCTGGACGCAGAGAGACAAGTCAATGGAGGCCTGAGTCCATCAACCTTTCAAGTGTGAATTTTGGAGCCCATTTTCGCTGGCAGAGCGCTTGGGCCACCACAGGCGCCCCCAACACGAGTGATGTCAGGCTGGCCACGCCCACCCTGGCCCCCAAGATCAAACACAACCCTGATGTGGCCCTCAATGCAATAAAGAGTTTGATACCCCTGGCCTAAAGACCTTTCATCAACGCAAATCTTGCATCCCCAATCTAATTTTCAGCCTACTTCAAATTAAATCAGCACAGGTTTGCACAGCTCTAGCAAACAGCCCATTCTGGCAGCATTATTTTTTTAAAAAATATATTAAAATAAGAGGCAGCCAGACTGCATTAGCCTTGATACAAAGTTTGCTGCCCCTAAACAAACAAACAAACAAACAAAAAACGGCTGAAATTTTTGCCCCCACCTCCTCAGATGCTGTTATTACATTGCTACTACAGCAATGGTCTCCAACCTTTTCGGCCTTGGCAGACCAGCGAGGGGGGGGCAAAGGGGATGGCTCTGCGCACAGCAGGCGGGCGAGCGCACACAGCTTCATTTGTGCAAGTGGTGGGCACGCGTACTTGCCACTTGCACAAATGGAGCGTCATGCGCGTGATCGCCCACTGCATGTGCAAGTGAAAATGCATGTGAGCACTCGCCTGTCGCTTCTGCAGCCCGGTTTTAAACGGGCTGCAGCCCGGGGCGTTGGGGACCCCTGTACTACAGTACCTAGTTCTTCTCAGAACACCTACAACAAAGCTTCTTAAACTTCATGCTTCAGACCCCACCTTAGAAAAAGAATTTAAATGCCGAAGGAAAATACAGGCATAACTTGTTTGACAAAGGAAAGCAGATATGCTCAAGTGCAATTATCGAAACGTTACAAACTACCTGTGTGTAATATAATAATAGATAGTATGTGCTTCTTTATTAATCAGTTAAATCAGCACTAAGGCAATACAAGTAGCCCTGTTGCTACAGCCACAATTGAGTGTCCAGAAAGCGATGAAGTGAGCCACCACGTGACTGCTTTGCTCAATGACCACAATCCCAGCTCTCCCAGTTGCAGTCATTAAGCAGACCATTGGAGAGTAAGGCCCAGGACTCCCAAGCATAGGATAGGAAGAGGGCCTCCTATCACACCCAGGAGCCCGAGACTCCCTCCTCACAATAATGTTGGTGTTCACTAACATTTTTTGCCAGCTTTAAGATCCATTCTTCGGCACACTCAGCTGACTTGGAAATCTATTTATTTATTGAATTTATATATTGCTGCCTATTTGCCCATGGCGACTCACGGCAGCTTACAGAATGTAAAACCATATTTAAAATTAAAAAAAACAATAAAAACTAACAAAAAGAATCAAATAAATTAATAGAGTACAATCTGGAAAATAATCTGGAAATAAATAAATCATTCCCAACTCCTACTGCCTGCCCAGATGACAGCAGATCACATGAGCCATTTGATGGGCTTTAAATTTTAAATTCTGAGAGTTCAGTCCACGTATCTAAAAGTGACCAAGGTTAAGAAACAGTGATTTACAGAATTATGAAGTCCTCAGTCTCTCTCCGCATCCCATTTGGTTTGACAGGAGGAGCGTGCTCTGGGCCCCAATGGTTAAGAAGTGCGTTCTTCCCAGATCAGAAAACATGTATTTTCAGTCACAGTGCCTGATTTTTTGGAACACACTTCCCTCCAAAATTAGATTGGCCCTAACCCTGTCAGCTTTCACAAAACCTTGAAGCTTTGGGTCTCTTCCTGACACAGTGGCTAGATTGTTGATTGGAGCCCATCAGGTTGCAAATTCTTCCTTGGTCACTATTACAGTATTGTGGTTTTTTTGTTTCCTGAATTTTTATTTTGAATGCTGTTAGCTGCCCAATTAATCAGGCACAGAAAAAAGTATTCAGAGATACTTACGAGCCTCCAATGATATAGTTGAATCCCAGGATAACCCATGGCAGATAGCATGCCTAGGAAAACAACAGCACACGTTGGAAAACTACAGCATATGTTTAGCGTAACGAACTTGAAGGGCAAAATTATCCTTTCATCTCATGTGCTGCGATCCTGAACCTGGTTGGGCCATATGTCTAACAAGGAAATGCCTGTTGAGCTGCCATTGAAAATAAAATGGTGGTTGGGATATTGGCTGGACTAGGATTGTAGACTATCCTATTATCCAAATTGTGTTTGCATCAGTTTGCTACATTTCATTTCCTGTGATTAACACCAAGCCATGCTTGCCATGTTGAATAAACATGCTTTAATGTTATTTCATCCCAGACTATACCATATTTTCTCAGATATTGAGAATAGGAGCTGGATAGATGAGCCTACAAAATACCAGGCTGGAAGGAAGAAATTCAGGAGCTTAAAGTAAGCATTTTCTGAATTATTGATACGCAGAGCCCAAAACGCAGAGCCCATCACTACACTAAGTGGAGTAAAAATACAGTGAAGTGGCCTCCGGTGTTAACTTCTGGGTCTTTAAAATTTTCCTTAGATGTTGCAAAATGCAGACCTTTTTAACATTTATTTCTTCTATTTAAATACATTTTTATTCGTCATATTTCACCATAAAAACACACTTCTACTCTTTACAGTGTTCCTGTTACGGTGTTCACTTATATTAACACAGTCTATAAATATATCCATTACTATTTCTATACAATTATATACTTATCTCTAAAGATAGCCTGTAACAGTATTTACAAATATATATACAATATTTCTTACTTTACTATATTTCCTACCTACTTTTCATATGGCTCCTTTACGTCTTCTTTCTAGCCAATTATGACCCTTTTAACATTTAAATTACATGCGCTGTAGTCTCCTTATCTGCAGAATGCAGCCACGACGCCCTTAATAATTTTGTTCAAAAATTCATTCACTATTTTTACACTTGAGACAACCTTCTGTTTTATGAAATCTCTTTCCTACTTGTTGAGCTGTCCTACAGCTATTTCTGTAATTTCCCTTCCCTTAAAGAACTGTATATGGAGCACTGTCAAGAAGGAAACGATCACACAGACGTCAGATAATGTAAATCCCAAACTTCTCTCAAAAAATCTGGAAGGAATCAAGGAATGGATGCCGTGATTCAATCGGATGTTGAAATTCCACTGATTTGGGCAAGGCTTCCAAAAGACAGAAGCTACATCTCTTCAGACCACTCACCTTAAACCGAGTCCCAAACCAAAACGACACAATCATGTCTCTGTTCAGCTGGGCCCAAACATAAAGTACAGACATGATCAGGGGGATCATCAGCAACTATAAGAGAACAAAGGATCCAACATGGTTTAAAATCAGCTTTGTCGACTCTCAAACTGAAGTAAAAAATCTTACAAATTCATGTTCAATTTAGATACGTCTCTGTCCCATTTGATCTTCTTTTCTGAGGGAAGGCGGGGGAAGGGGAATGAATTTGGAACAAGAATATTTTTTGGAGGGGGGCGGGAATATATTTTGTAGATTTCTCCATAATCCATGATCCGTTAAATCTAATGAAACCAATAACCACATAAAGCCACATAAAGTTGATAGCTCTGTGGGAATCAGCCACTGCAGGAGGTATCAGTCCCAAAAAGTAAATACTAAAACCTAATCAGATTTGGAACAGTACTAGTTTCTAACAGAGTACATTTAAAAACTTTTCTTGAATGAAGGTAAATATAGGTCTCCCAGGACAATTTTGTAGGATCCAATCTGAGTCAGTCACCAGGACCAAAGTTCTTCCAAGCTTTCAGGCTCATGTTGGAGCCCCTCAGGGAAGAAAGAGAGAGAAGTTCCCTGGGGATCGGCTACAGCGGGGGCCTTCAAACTTGACACCTTTAAGACTTGTGGACTTCAACTCCCAGAATTCCTCCCCCAGTCATGTTAGCTCAGGAATTCTGGGAGTTGAAGTCCACAAGTCTTAAACTTGCCAAATCTGAAGACCCTTGGGCTACAGCAAGAGTCCAAAAATTGGAAAGAATAAACTCAGATTGGATCCTGCAAAAACTTTTCTTTTATCAACTAACTGCAGTTTAGCACTGTATTTGAACCTTCAGTTGTGATTAATGTTAACTTTCATTTACTGTAAACACGTGTATAAATCAAGATTCGAGACTGACTTGTTTCAGTAACTCATAGTAAAACTAGAGCATGTCTGGGTTTAAACATAAACTTAAACATTACTCATTAAAACATGGGAAAAGCTTCCATCTGTCTCTTTGGATAAGGGTGGGATCCTACTGGCATAACAACCAGTTCGGTGAGCGCGTGCTTTGCAGGTTGGGTTGGCTGAATGTTTGGCCGAAAGCCACCCTGCTGTCCTTCATGCCTAAAGTGGGATTAGAGCTCACAGTTCCCTGGTAATTTGGCTCAAAGTCATTCAGCCATCCTTCATGCCTAAGGCAGGACTAGAACTCACCATCCCCTGGCTTCTGGCCGGATGCCTTTACCACCAAAACCAAACTGGTTTTCTTACTAAGGCAAGAGAAAGGACAGCCTAGAGCCCAGGCAGGTGGATGGGCCCATCTGAAGAAAAGATCATCTTTGGAGAGAACTGGTTCAGTTGTCAGCTGCTCTTCAGAGCTACCGGTTCTATAGAACTGGGCCGAACCGGTAGAATCCCACCCATCTTTGGAGTCATATAGAGGAAAGCGCCAAGGACAAGAACCAGAGGCTACCGCTATGTTTCAAAGTGGCCATATTCTCCAATGGCTGTTCCTTAATGTCATCTGTAACTTTGATTTGGAAGGATGCGCACCAAAAGTCCTAATAAGCCTGATTTGCAAGACATTCAAAAAAAGGATATACTTACTTGCATATTCATTGCTAAGCCAGTAATCTTTTCATTTTAATTAAGGAAATCCAAATTAAGTAAACGTTAATACTTAAATTTATAATGATTCCATTTTAGACACGTAGAATAATGAATGCTGATATTTGTTATCATATTGAAGCCCCTTTGATACGGATGAATACATTTGGATCTCTGCCTACCTGCTCCACGTGGTTTTAATGAAGTCTATAAAATCTCCCTCAAGCCCAACCAAGTTGGGCTCAAACAATACATTAACAGCAGACTCGGATACTGTGAGATTCAGAGTATAGGAACCCAGCACATTGTGTGAACTAGGCCATAATATGGTTTATTCATTTGGCACATTGCAACACTCATCAAGCTTTGATAACCCAGATTTTGCGTGTGAAGGCAGCCATTGAGTCTCGAGCAAACCTTACGCTCTCATTCAGTTATATCAAGGGTCTTCAAACTTGGCAAGTTTAAAACTTGTGGACTTCAACTCCCAGAATTCCTGAGCTAACATGACTGGAGGAGGAAGTCTGGGAGTTGAAGTCCACAAGTCTTAAAGCCGTCAAGTCTGAAGACCCCTGAGTTATACAGTGGCTGTTCCTGAATTGATCCCCTTTTTCCACCTGAGGGGAAAAAACCAAACATGTGAATTTAGAATTATCAGAAGAGAAATGGGGGTGCCTAGAATGATTTCCCTAAGGCCACGGAAGCATTCCTGGTGAGGGGGATGCTTTTCCAAGACCCAAACCTGTCCAAACGTTGGCAGCAGATTCGAGAAAGGATACAACTATGCAAATCCAGTTAAACAGCAGCATGAACATGTAGTCGGCAGGCCTTCCATTGAAAGCACCTGTGAACAAAGAACGACATTGCAGTGAACGTAATCCCTGGCACTTGTTTTTCCCTCCCTTTTCCCCAAGAGGCTGTGGGAGCCTCCAGAAGGCTGTGATTAAATCGCGGGATGCAACTTCAACTTTTGTTCTGAGAAGCTAACAAGAGGCTGCTCTGTTCAGTGAGGGTATTTTATGGGAAAGCGTTATCCAGTTTTTGTAGGAAAATCTAAATTACTACCTGTATATATGGAGAGTCTCTGTACACAGCATGAATTCTAGCTTTGAAGGGGGGTTTTTCCAAACAAATATTATACAAAATTCTGGCATCAAACTCATTTTTTTGTTGTCCCACAAATACTGCCCAAAATTAACATACTACAGGTAGTCCTTGACTTATGGCCCAAAATTTCCATTGCTAAGCGAGAAAGTTGTTAATTATTTTACCCAGTTTTATGTCCTTTCTTGCCACAGTTGTTAAGTGTTAGTTGTTAAGTTAGTAACATGGTTGCTGTATCACCCACTGAAAGCAGAACTCTGAGGCAGGTACAGTGGAACCTCAGGTCTTGAACGCTTCTGTTCGTGACCAAATCGGGTGGAGAACAAAAAATCCACCTGATTTTTGAATTGGGTCACAATTCAAAGATCAGGTAACGAACAAAATCAGTGCAGAAAGATTCCCTTTCTGCGCTGATTTCCCCTTTGGCACAATTTTTTTTGTCCACGCAATCATGCTTTCGGTCACAACCAAATCGGGTTGTGGCCGAAATTTTGGAATGGATTATGGCCGTGACTCAAGGCTCCACTGTAGATTCCACAAAGAAAGTGTTTATTGGATACATCATATCGGCACAGCTGGTGAAAACCAATTCTGAAAGTTCCTGCAGTTTTCACCTAATTAAAAGAGTAAAACTTCCCCCACCTTCATGGTGCCAACAGTCACATAGTCCAATGACTATGGCTGGCAGGCTCCTCTCTTCCTTCACCAGCCACTTGTTATGATGACCTTGGTTCCCACAGGAAAACTTTTTGTTTTGACTGTTGGCTGGAGTATCTACTTCCCCCTTCCCTTCCCTTTCCCAGGATTCATGTCAACTGAATGCACCAATTATCATATTAAACAAGACTATGTCAACCTTCTACGCACCAATTCCACCCGCAATTTTTACAATTTTGTAAATTAGAAACTAAAAGACTCAAGGTCCATCCCACCCCTGATAGGACCTAATGGTAAAGACTGCAACGATGACACCATTAAAGGCAACATCTTTAACACATTCTTTGGCTCAGTATTTGTAAACAGCAATGGATCATGCCCAGTATTTCCTAGCCGAACCACAGAAAACTACAATGATCTAATTCATATCGATTTTACAGAAGACAATGCTGAAAAAGCACTGTGCAATCTAAAACCATCTCTATCTATTGGACCAGACAGAATATGTGCCTACTTCTTTTAAAAGCTATCCACTGCCATAGCAGAACCTCTAAGCATAATCTTTGAAAAATCTTTCAGGACCAGCTCCTTGCCAAAACTATGGTCACAAGCCACGGTCATCCCCATCTTCAAAAAGGGAGACCCCAGCCTAGTTGAAAATTACAGACCAATCTCCTTATGCTGCGTCACCTGTAAAGTTATGGAATCAATTATTAACCAATCCATCATCCTCCACTTAGAAACAAACAACCCACTCTCTAATAAACAATTTGGTTTCAGAAAAAAAACTATCCTGTAATCTGCAACTCTTACACTGCAAAAACATATGGACTACACAACTCGATCAGGGAAAAGCAATAGACCCAATCTACATAGACTTCTGTAAAGCCTTTGATTCAGCAGTAGACAACAAACTACTCCTAAAACTAAAATCTTATGGTATCTCTGGACAACTGAATAACTGGGTAGAAGCATTCCTGTCAAACAGACAACAAATGGTCAAAATTGGGAGTGTCCTATCAAATTCTGTACCTGTCAATAGTGGTGTCCCCCAAGGCAGTGTTCTAGGACCAACTCTCTTCATACGCTACATCAATGACCTTTGTGATCATATTAAGAGCAACTGCCTTGTCTTCGCTGATGATGTAAAGCTGTTCAATACCACAGACAATACTGCTACCCTTCAAAAAGATTTTGACTATGTATCAGAATGGTCAAGCAAATGGCAACTTCAAATCTCAACCAATAAATGCTCTGTCCTACATA